TGAAGCGAGGAACATTGCATGTCTTGAAAGGCTACTCTGTGCCAACAGCTGACACGAGGCCACAGGCATGGCTCTTTCAAGCAATAGCATGCTCCAGTATGCATATGTTTACTTCAGAGTTTAAATACAATTTTTGTTGGCATGGTCGCCGTTTACAGTGAAAGTCAATGAAAGTCAAGAGTCCAGACTGCAGGTGGGCGACAAGGTTTGTCTTCGACATGCCAAGCCATCCGGACTCTTGAAGGAGGGTGATGTTGGCGTGGTGGTCTCACAGCTGCATACAAGGTGTAACGGGATCAGAACAGACACAGACAATGGCCAATGGCTGCGCTACACCAGGTGGGGCTGATTGTTGGTTTAAAATGTTTTAGACACCGATCATAGTAGGCTTTCTTCCAGGGATCTCAAACGCGGCATTCTCAAAAGGATGGACACTTGTTTAAGTCATTTTGATTCTTGATTCTAAATGTCACAACGTGTGACTGGTCTCAGGTTGCTGATGATGGCTCCGATTGTGTCCCCCTCAAAGTAAAGCTGGGTGACAAATATGACTACTATGACTCTCAGCTGCAAACTGTGATCGCTGAGAGATACGACATATGACTCCCAAATCCGTCGATTTCCTGTGCAATATCTGAGGAGTATTCTGATGTCATGGTTCCTTCTGCCAGTTCCAGTGCCAGTGCATGTGCTACACCAGAGGGTACCAAGGGCTTCCTTGCCACTTGCATGACCTGTCGAAACCGATATCGCTGGCCCCAAGTTGATCGGCAGCCGGCAGCGCTTTCATTCAGTCAGCTACGCCCGCTGGGCTCCATTGGTCTAGCTTGAAAACCCATGAAAACCCTCATGCCACGCCATGTTTACGAAATTGTTGTGCATTGGCTGCTTTGGGACACGCCAAGGCGAGGAAGAAAGTGGCACAGACGCTTATTGGCAAGCAGCTTCCCAACGCTGGCACTGCACTTTTGTGTCAGCCTTGTGTGACATATGGGGTCTTGAAGTTCCTGTATCTAAGCTTATTGGTAAGTCTGGTGGCGAAGCACATAGTGCGACTAAGGGGAAATCTGCGCAACCTTGGGAACACAGGCCTTTGCATTTCACCGGTGGGGTTTGGCTGCCATCGCCTGGAGGAACAGCTTTCTTGTATGACTGCCGAAATCAAACTCCATTCTGCAACTAAGTTTGTGTTTTCCGAGTTTCCGAGTATTCCAGATCGAGCTTTGCCACAGACTCACCCACAGCTGCAACCTGATAACAGACAGCCTCGATTCTGACCTGTTTTTGATCCAATTCACATTTGTTGATGTCAGGACACAGATTCTCACAAGAGCGCTTTGGAACTGGCAATCTCACTTGGTTGTAATTTTGTTCCTCGTCTGCAAGCTTGCATATGACCCGACCGTGCTGTTGAGCTGTTGAGCACTATTCACATCTATTCACTATTCCGCTATGTCGCATGCGCGGCAGCATTCGAGTAAACATTCAGGACTACCCCTTATCAAGGCTACATAATTGTTCATCCCTTTGCAAATTACCTCTTTTGAATCAATAGGCCTGGGTGCAGTCGACTGAGCACATTTTGTTTTGTACAGTGTGGACATGGCATGACATGGCTGATTTTTGGGGCTGCACCATGTAGTACTGATTTTGTAAAGAACTGAGACATGCCTACAGGCATGACTGGGCAAATTATTCTGTATGTGTTTTGGTTGTGCAAGACTTTCGGTCATAATCGAAACCTGGGGTATTGAGTCCAAAGAATGTTGACGGTGGGGATGTTGATTCTGAGAAGATTGCTGTTGTAAACGTGACCAAGGCAAACCTCCAAGCTTGATGTGTTTGGGCATTTGCCCAAACCAAGGAAGAATTTGGCAATCCGCCAGAAACATCGAGACAGGAATAAGATCACACGTCACCACACATCATCGCATCACTTAGAAAGGAAAGAAGGAAAACGAAGAAGACACGAAAAGAAAAAAGGAAAGGAGTAAGGAGACCACAGACATACTTTCAAACACATTTTTGAGCTTACGAGGAGCATTGCAGAGCTTTGCACAATGTAGGAAAGCACCGGACGCAGGCAGTTGGAGATGAAAAAGAGATACACGATGATTTGTACAACATCACTATGTTCACCTTTACATACTTTTACCAAATTGTTTGGGAGTCCAGGAAGATATGGTGTTGAAGCACACATGCTGGCTTAAGCCATTAGCCATTGACTGTACAAAACATGCTTGACTGTAGCGACAGCAATGGTTCTGCAAATCTGACTCTTCATGAAACATTGCATGGCTTTGCCCTGGGAGTATTGATTTTGTAATGAATCTAGACTCTAGACGTGTTGGTTGGAGCTCGATTCATTGAGTTTGTAGAAGGTTGTGACCTGCAGGTTATTTTTGGTTAGTCATGTTTGAGCTTAAGGTATTGCGTAAATAGATAATTTTGCAATCAATACCCCTAGCGTTGAGCCCATATTTCATGGGATTGTTTTATTTTCCAACCTTTTGCACGAGAAAGACATTCTCATTCTGCAACACTGTCCCATAAGGACCAAACAAAACTGTGTGCACCAAGATTGACCAGCTTGAGTGCTGTGTGCCTTCTGCTCCCAGGTTGACTTGGCGCCGAACTACACTGATGGCGATGCTGAAAAGGCCAGGGAAGGTGAATCATTGTCCATGGGTCAAGCCAAGCACTCGCAAAGGGCCCCAAAAATCAAAGAATATCCAAGGAATTTCCTGGATATTTGAGGGACATCTCCGCAAGAAACATTTGGAGGGGACGTAGACATGGACATCTCTGCATCAGAACCCAGATAGCTTGAGTCCTTGGAATCTGCAAGTCGAGTCGATATGAGCCGGTTTTTGCAGGTCGCTGGAGAAGTCCTCCAGAAACTGCTGCAGCAACGCAAGGTGAGGTCTCCTTTTGACTTGTGACTGTCATTCCCAAACATAGCGATGGAATGCGATGGCTTGTCTTGCGAGGTAAACAATGACAATGATTGGTAGAACACGTGCGCGGTCTAAACAGTTTGAACAGTCTGCAAGGTTGCTCGAGACGAGATTGTTGTGGCTACCAAGGCTGGGTTTCCTTTGCCTAGAAATGTTGTGATTGCTCATTGTTTCTTTTTTGTGTGTTTTTCTATGTCTTTCTGTAGTTCTTAAATTGCCTTTCTGTCTTTCAAGTCTTTCTTTCTTTAAACATTTCTTTTTTTATTTGTTTTTTTTGCCTCATTTTCCACTTACCAGGATACCTTCAAGATTCACGGGTACAGATTCTACCGCGTACTATACTGGCAATCACAAAGCAGAAGATATACTTTATTGCTTGGGCAGGTTGGCAATGTGCTGGGAAAGCAGATGGCACATACCGAGGGTGTTCCCAACATGGCAAGAGTCAATGAGAGCAACTTGTTATAAGATGTAGACAGGGTCGTAGCATGCTGGGTCAGCACAGTTTCACCAGAAAAGACTTGAGGAGCAAGGCTTGGGTAAGCAACCACAATAGACCAACCTGGACTTGCCATAGGTGACGGTGCCATCATTCTAACATTGAACTCAGTTGTGAGTGGCAAGATGCTAGATAACATATTTTGAAGGGCACTTGATTGATGTATTGCAGTGCACCGGAAATGACCACAAAGCCTGTTGAAAATTTCCAGCCTAGGCTTATATCACTGTATCTCCCCGTGCTGGATCGAGCAGGCACGATTTGCCGATTATATAGAAGTCAAAGCCATCTAGCGATCCATTTGGCTGTTTGGCAGATTTGATGATGTAAAAAATGCAATAGTATGAACAAACTGTCAAAGCTCGATTCTCACTGTCAATCATTGTCATCAATTCTTCGAGGAGCACTTTTCCCTGGATTTCGATGGTGAGAATCTCTCGAAGTGGAAATCAAAAACATATATACTGGGTCCCCAACATGGTGTAAGAAATTGCAGGAATGTGTTTGTTTGTAAATGTTTGCAACCCAATTGTGTATATACTGTATAATATGTTATCATCTTGGAATAAATCAGACTCTTCTATCAGACAATAATAAAGCTGCAGGAGCTGACGCGAAGCCTGAACCGGCTGCAGTTCCTTGTGCTGCAGTCAAGGCAGTAGCTGCATTGTGGCAAATACCGAAGAGACAGCTCAAGACCTTAATGTAGAAATTCAATAGATTATGGACGTATAGTTGTCAATGGTCATATTGAAATACCGGCAGAGAATCACTGTTTTGGTCGTCTCCATATTATGGTTCTGGGCTTTCCATTGTCCAGCCCACTCCGCACACACACACACACACTTTGTTCCAGGATCCCAGCTAGGTTGACAATGGCAACGAACTGACCCGAGATATGATGCTGTAGACGCTGAACACTGAACACAGCAGTACTTGACAAACCGGGGCACAAACGGAGAACCCATGAACATCCAAGCAAGAGCACGGTAGCGGAGGGGAGGGTGCAAGGGGAGGGTGCAAAGTTTCTTTTTTTTGTGGTAAGGATGCATGTAGCCTGGGTAAGGCCATTTGGCAGTTCAAGGCTTTGTAATCATTTGGCTATTTGGCTTGAGGATTGTTGATTTCAGCGTACTGGAAGTTTAAAGGACAAATCTGGAAAATGTGGAAAGGACAGACAGCCTGGATGACCTGCACACAACACATCATTTACCTTATTTCCTCAGGCTCAGTTGCATCGATTGTTTGCTACTTCATTGCCCTGAGTATGAGAGCAAGGCAGGTGTGGACATGTCGGAGGTCTACTCGAGAATGAGCGGCTTGACAGCAGCCAGAACAAGGAGTTTCCCAGAGTGACTAGTCACTGAGATTGGAGGCGTGTTTACTGGCAACATTTACACTGACCATTAATTATTCTATATTATTCTTATATAACCAAAATTTATTAGCAGCCTGGAGCCAACAAGCCGCCATTTAGGAACTGCCTTTGACTACTTGGAGACTGAAGTTGCAAAGGGTCGGATTGTCGCTTGGCCTTGGCTGCTGGTGAATCTGGTGTCGGACATGCATTTTCACACCAGATCCAGGTCTATTCCTTTCCCATGTATGCAGACTAGTCCCACAAAGAACACAACATACAATGATGCACACAATTAGAGTTAGGTGCTGCAAGGCTCAATATGGAGGTGAAAAGCGTACTGTATTTCAATGTATTTTCTGTCATTTGTCATTTGTTGCTAGCTTTTAGCATCTCTTGGCCGTTACTAGTAGCCCCCGCAAGATGAGCGGGCGGTCAAAAAAAGGTTGAAACTCAGTTGTAGCTTGTAAGCTGCAGCTACTTTGCCCAGTCAACGCACTAAAGTCCAGTAGCATGCAGCAGATCAAGCACTACCGCCAGTTGCTCGGGAGAACTTTTAGGTTTCTGGAAGGTGATAGCTGTGTTCGCTCAAATCTTGCCATTTTTTTGCAGAGATAGTATATAGAGATGCCTCCGAAGAGAAGTCTTGGAGTTATGGCTGGCGATGTCAAGAACAAGGCCTCCCAGCTGAAGTCCGCCGTACTGTTGCGAATGAAGGCCAAGTCCGTTGAGACTTCGTCACCTAGTGCTGCTCCTTGTAGCACGGCCTTGGCTGCCTCCTTGAAACGGAGAATACGGAGAGTACTGGAAAGACGAGCAAAGAAAACCTGTGCCATGTATTGTCCAGCGAACTCAGCGAACCTAGTGAACATGAGTCTGAAGAGGATGGATTGCGCCCTGACACAGTTGATTCACATGACGTGCGAAGGCCGAATGCAGCTAATGCGGCCAGTCAGAAATTGCCAGTTCAGGAGCTAGATCCCAAAGTGACTGGTGCTGTCCTTCTTTGCTCCATCCTAGCCCTTTGCCGCCCATCCCTCTTGCTACTAGTTTTGCTGGTGATGGGGAACCTCATTTTGGCTTTTGTAGTAGCAACGCTTTGCATGTATCTTCGCGGCAAAGCATCTCCGGCACCAGCACCATTAGCCGCAGTGGGTGATCCGCATGATGAAGATGGTGACATCAAAGCTCCTGTTGGCTTGCAGCAGTTGCTTAGCCCTGGATGGATTCGCATGCGAGAGATCATCGCCCAGAGGGATTTCCAAGGAGTAGTAAAGGCAGTCGATCTTGGCGATCAGCCTCCTGAAGTGACTTTCGTTCAATCTGCTAACGCCCCTTGCGACGATGTGGTGTGCTTCAACGTTGGGCTGTTGCTAAGTTCAGACTGCAACACTTTCGTTCCGCCCACTGTGCTGATAGAAGTGAAGCTTCCTGGATACTCAACTCCATGGACCTTCCGCTTGAAACTATTGTCCCTCCAGATCACAGTACAATTGTATTTTTGGAGTTGGCCTCCTGAAGGGTGGGGCAGCGGGCGACCATTCTCCTTGATAGAAGGGGCTTTGTGTCCAGAGGCAAATCCACCTTTGGTGAGAGTTGCTTTGGAAGCAGTCTCAAAGTCATCTCTTTTCGAGCAATTTCTTTCTGGATGTGAGCCTGTCGCGTCTGCAGTGATTTGCTCCCATGTTTTGCCGCGCTTCACTGGTTTTCAAAACCGAGTGATCTTAGAGGAAGGACGTGCACAGAAGAAGGCCAAGGACAGCAAAGCTTGGCAGCAAAAAGCTCGCCGTGCTGGCTGGCAACCACGAGCAGAAGCTGCTGTTGAGAGTGTCAGGAGCTCAGCTATTCAGGACGTTCACGGAAGAACATGTACACGACGGTACAATGCCATATATGTTATACATTTGTTTGCCTTTATATGCATTCTTATGCCTTTATCATTTCGTGTTCGCTGTTTCTGTCACTGTACCTGATCCTAACTTCTCCGGGGTCTCCCGACTAGGTCCGACTGGTTTTGTTTTTTGGCCTCGCACCTCATCCCAACATTGGTGCATGTGACTGGGCGTTTGGGTTTGTATGTCATATCGTTACCAGCTTTCAGCTTTTGTAACAGTCCTTGTCATCCTTGTGACTTCCACAGACTTTGCCACCGTTTCGTTTCTTGTCTTTTTTGCGGAAGTGAATTAAGAAGGCATTCAATGACATGAGTGAGTGTAGGGTGTGTCCATGAGGGAGACTTCGTCCGAACATTTCAACCATCCGATTCCAAGCAACTGCAAATAGTCTCCTCAAGATGTGTGTGGATGGTAGAAACATGCAAACGTGAACGTGTTTTAAAGTTAAGTTTCAAGAACAATAGCGCTCTGAGCATTAGCCTGCATCCAAGCCTAGTAGTGCCTAGCCTACTAGCAGCTTACCTCCTAGTAGCTACTTAAGCTACTTCCTCAATCTGACCTTTCCCTTCTTCTACTCCACCACCTTGGGCCTTAAACCAAGAGACTGTAGAGCCTTTTGCCGCCCCCCTGGGGTTGTGAGGCTTTGGGCCAGATGTTCAGTGAAGCTGGAGGATTTGCCTACGAAGCTGTTGCTAATACAGCAGCTAGCGCAGCAGCTCAGGGCGCAGCAGCAGCTCGAATGCTGAAGTCATCTTTTGGAATGGAGCCATGAGGAGATTGCAGTCCTTCAAAAGCCATTTGGGGTGGATTCTGGCCCAGCTGCTCGTTCCTACAGACTCATCGTCAAACGGAAGCTGTACGACGGTATGAGGCCAAAGAAGAGAGACTTCTCGGGCTTAGATTTGGTTGAAGAAAAGAACCAGGATGGACGAGGAAAAAGGGAATTTAAGTGGCGAAGCCGTGATGGCGAAGCGTGGTGAAGCTGCAGATGGACAGCTTCACGGACTTCATGGGCTTGCAGAGGCTTGCAGAGGGTGGTTGGCGGTTTTGCCAAGCCGAATGGTACCATCAAGTGCCCGAGATTGGATCGAAAAGACTCGTGCCTCAAGCGGCTTTGCATGTTCACAATGCAGCACCGCATGCAATACCGTCAAACCTGACAACTTGCAAAGAACCGACATATTACAAGTTTAAGGCCATGTACGGCTTATCAGCGGCCTTTATGCCATTGAGACCCACAGACGCTCAGCATTTGGACTTGTCGAAGGCCTCGAAGATGCAACAGTGTGCAGTTTTGATGCGTGTTGGAGATTGACTGATTGACTATTGAACTAGCTCTTGATTTATCAGCCTCAGAAACAGGAGTTCAGGGAATGTTTGTAAGTTTCAGGTTCTGAGACTACTACCTGAGAAGCATCACTTCAGGGTCTTGCAGTTCCCCTTGAACTTTGCGGAGGCGCCACGCCTTTTTTGGTTAACAGTCGTCAGTCAGATTTGTAGGCAGCCAACAACAGTCATGGTGAGTGATGGCCCACAAAGTAGATTGTATTTGTAGCTCTTGTAATTATATACTCCAGAACCAGCAGGTTTGTTCGGTGCGAGACTTGTGAGCAAGTCAAGTGCTGCAAAGTGAGAGTCTGACAGCGTCCTGGATAATATGCTTTGACACCGTTTCCTGCAGGCAGAAGCCATGTGGGTAGGCCTGGACATGCCTGGACTGGTTGACAAGACGATCGGCGCATTGATCATCTCCAGGGAGCAATGAGCACAAGTTGCTTGTGGCCGAAGTTGATCGTAGATTGCCATGAGAAGAGATTATATAAATATACTCGCATGCCTTTGATCACCCTCCTCCATTTAACCCATTCCCTCAAACTGTCCCACCCTTTCAGTGGTGCTGTGGAGGTCACGTCCCTCGAAATCCTGATGGATCAGCTGTGGATTCGGGCTCAGCGGTTGAAGCGGCAACCCTTTTTGAGGCTGGCAAACAGTTGTTTCCTGGTTTTGTGCTTCGTTGTTGCATGGAGGATGTTCTTTTGCCTTGGATGCAGCAAGAACCAACCGTTGTACCTTTTCTTATACACATGTCTGATACACATTTAATTATACACTTTGTGACTCTTTACTTGATGCCATGTTATTTTTGACCGCTGAAGGTGGCGAAAACTCATGGCTTGGCTACGCACCTTGACCTTTGCAGGTTTTTGCTACAGTGCTCTGATGTTTTGGAAAAGCTGTGGTGGTGGTGGTGGCTGTGAAAGATACAAAATAAAGAAACAAATTGAATGATTGATGACACTTGATACCCGGTGTATCAGTTTCAGTCCAGTTCTCGAGCTGGCTAAGGCTGATAAACCGACCGCTGGATGGCATTTACAAGGAACAGCAATTCTCCTTGAGACAAGACAAAATGCCGGATCTGGCCCTTGCTTGGTTCAATGAAACAATGGCCAAAACAACTCAACACCCTACTGTATTGCAACCAGCTTGAAGCGCTTTTCTTTGACATGCAATATTGAATCCAACTACTCAGCTACACCTGTTGAGCCCGGCATGGCCCTGAATTGAAGGAAGCTCACGGCGTCTTGCGTTTCTCGTCCCTGGATTGTGATGTGCGTTCCTTCTCCGAGCTGCAGCTTGACAACTGTGACTGGACTGGAAAGTCTTTGTCTTTGTATTTCGTGGAGAGCCAAATCTCAATCATCACTGCCACTCCTGCGTATGGCGTTCAATAGGTAACTGATGGTAGTTGCATAAAATAGCCTTTGTAACCATAGTAGTAGCGTTCTCTAAAAAGCTTCAGAAAAATCAAAAGACGATCGTGGTATATATATATATAAGTATGTTTCTTTCTCGAGGCGTCTCTTATGATGCAATCAAATGCAATCTATAGTTACTATAGTTAACTTGATCTTGGCGTGTGGCTAGGTGATGCCATTGAGGAGAAGATCACTAATCTGTGCGGCTTTGAATCAAAGCAGAAGCTGTCAAAAGCTGGAAGTTCTCAAACGTGTCAAACGACTCAATGTAAACGTTGCAAGAATTGTATTTTAAAACGCTACTAGGGGCTCCTGGCCTTACTATACTAGGAGCAAGAAAGAAGCTACTAGGGGCTCCTGGCCTTACTATACTAGGAGCAAGAAGTTACTAGGGGCTCCTGGCCTTACTATACTAGGAGCAAGAAGCTACTAG